TTGGTGCGCTTTATGGGCTGGTGGAATCCTTCTTCAAAAACGATGTAGGCCACAACGTTACAGTCAATGGTGATCGGTATAGAGCCATGATAACTAACTTTTTCATTCCTGAATTGAACAATCATGATGTCCAGGAGCTGTGGTTCCAACAAGACGGCACAACATGTCACACAGCTCGTGCCACAATCGATTTATTGAAAGACACGTTTGGTGTCCGCCTAATTTCACGTTTTGGACCTGTGAATTGGCCTCCAAGATCTTGTGATTTAACACAGCTGGACTATTTTCTGTGGGGCTATGTAAAGTCATTGGTCTATGCGGATAAGCCACAAACGCTTGACCATTTGGAAGACAACATTCGTCGTGTTATTGCCGATATACGGCCACAAATGTTGGAAAAAGTCATCGAAAATTGGACGTCCAGATTGGACTACATCCGAGCCATCCATGGCAGTCATATGCCAGAAATCATACTTAAAATGTAATGCCACACGATTATCTTTCGAATAAAAAAAAATTCATGTCAATCGAATAATACATCGTTGTTTTATTGCAATTTAAAGTTCTATACCTCTAAAAAAACACCCTTTATTTCGCGTTCACATGATTTATGTGGAATTGGGATTCAATCCCAACTATCTTGTCTTCATTCCTTAAAAATGAATCCCAAACAATTAAATAACAGTAATATTTTAACTTAAATACCGAAAAATCCGGCGTATATAACGCGCACTTTTAATTCAAAATATAAGATCCAAATTTAAGGGCGCGCGTTATGCGCCGGATATAAAAATGATAGCTTTAAAAATAACAAGAGATGAGAGCATAAAAAAATACTTCTTCACATATCGAAATACTATTTATTAAAAAAAATGACATGCCTTATGAACTAACGGGGGCTTTCGGCGACGGACCAAGAGTTTCTGTTTTAGAAGTAGGGCTTTCGGCGACGGACCACGTAATTTTGAACCATGGTCAAGTGATTATTCGACAGATTTAACGTGCATCGCTGCCCTACACGGCGGGTCTTTAGTGGTACTTTTTTAAAGTGGGGTAATATACCTTGAATAAATTACTTTAAAACATATAAGAACATTGTATACTAACGTTTCAGATATCTTTGTAAAGAAGGGGAGTGCGTTATACGGTGAATATACCTTGAAATAGAAAAGTGCAGCTAGAAAGTATAGGTGCACGTTATACACCGGATTTTATGGTAATATACAGTCGGACCTCTATATAACGAAGTCGCTAAATCCCGGAAAAAAGTTCGTTACATGGAAAATTCGTTCTATAGAGGTTCATCTTTTAATTTTCTTCATAAACCACATAAAAGAAATTTTTATAAGTTTATTTTATGTATTTTACCCCTCAAAAAAGAGAAAAACTGCAAGGAAAACAAGAAAAAAGAATTTCGAAGAATTCACTGTATTTTCAATATTAAGAAAATAATTTTATACTAAAATTAATGAATTTTACGGACATTTTATAATTTAAAGCATACAATTAATATTAAACAACTATTATTATTTATAATTAGAACACGGAGACACGGGACAACTCCACTGAGGGTGTAAGAGGATATCGAAGATGTCTCTAGTAAACTGGACGATGGAGGTTAAAGGTTGCGCTTCTTGGATGAAACGTCCAGAAAACTCTATTGCTCTCTATGAGTTAGGATCTAATAAAACCAATTCAAAATTTATGACCACCATAAAATGTATTAAAGAGAGAATAACTTGAAATTTTTTCAGAAATACTTTAAAAAAAAGGGGGAGAAGAAAAATTGAATCACAAAAGAAAAAGTTCGTTATATAGACAATGCACTTCGCTATAGAGAGGTTATTTTACGAAGAAAATCGTGAATTGTTCAAGGTTCCAGGAAAAAGTTCGCTATATAGAAGTTCGACTGTATATTCCACAGGGATTCGAGTCCTGTTGTCACTAAAGATTAAGAGTAGAGAATGTGATGATGCACGTTAAATCTGTCGAGTTCAGAGTCCTCTCGTTGATGTGTGGGTAGTTTGGAAAAGGTGTGCCACCTCAGGTGTCGTCTTCATCACTTGACTGAGTCTCAAAATTACGAGGTCCGTCGCCAATAACCCTCGAGTTGCTTTAGAGTACGACGTCAACAAAACTCGCTCATTTATTATTCCACAGAAGATCTTTGGTGGAATCGGAATTTGAATCCTAATTTCATTCGATCTGTTATAGAACTTTGTGGCTTGGACTGCCAGCCTGTTATGGCCAATTGAATACCAGACAGATTCTTGAGCTTTTCGAATTACTTGTATTCAAAATGAAAAATTCTATACTTTTTAGAAACTCAATGATGAGAAAATAAATGACTTAATTTTTATACGGAGCATAATTTTAAAATATCCAGTTAATTAATATTCAGGTGTATTTAAAATACTACATAAGTATTTACTCAATAACTGAAACAAGTTTCAAATAGCCACTTTTGACCTTGTACGATAAAAAAAAAAAAAAGAAAAAAAGCTTTACTTAAAAGCCTATAACAGGAATGACATTTTGAGATTGCACTGTTCAAATATTACTATCAGTGTAAATATATGGCATATTCTCATTTTGTTTTATTGAGCCATGTGATGGCCCACAGGAATTTTAAGTATAAGGGAAAAAAGATTAAAAACGGCTTTTGGCTGTAAAGGTAATCGAGTATCTGTCTCAGATTCACGAAGCAAAGAAAAAGAATTTTTTTTTCTTTTTGCTTTAAGCATAAAATGATGAATTTTATTAGGCTTCTTTGATTTAATGATTTTGCGATGAGATTGAGAATATTTTTTAGTAGAAGAAAGTCTTGGAAGTTTTCGGTTCGTGATTTTACCGAAAATTCTTTGCGAAATTCTAATTACTAGGTGTAACGTGATAGTTACAATACCCGTTATATAGTATCACTGAGATTTCTTCATCTGACAATATATAAATTACAGTTTTTACGTAAAATTCATGTTATGAACTTTTTGACCGTTATGCACCTAAGGCTGTGGGTTCAACCCCGACCCAAGTCGGTAGATTTTCATGATGCAGAAAATCGACAGCGGCCATGTCGTATGATTATACGGCGTGTAAAAAATCCCTAGAGTGTCTGTTTGGCTTGTATGCTTTCGGAAAAATTAAATCCTGGTACAGGTTCGCATCGTCAGAGCTCAGGTGACACCCCCTAGGGAGGAAACTGGGCGTCAAAATTACAGGCGGCGATTGATATTCGCCTATAGAGCACCGCACTAAAAAGTGATACCAGCTTCCGGGGGATGTACTAGGTCTGCAATGGTTAATGACCAATTCACAACCCATTAGAAATAAAAAATATATATATTTTGTATTAGGTTTAAAAAATGTTTTTCTTGATGAGTATAGAAAACGGGAGATTTTTCGTCCAATAACAGCTAATTAAGCAGATATGTATTTTTTATATATATACTTGTCAAATTTGATTAAGAATCATTTTTATTTATTATTTGAACAAATATATTTCATCATTCGGATGTGAGTAGCAATACCGCGGCCATTTTCTCCTCTTTACGTCATTTGATTGTGCTTAAATGTGCTCTAATCACTTTCATACCCCAGCATCTCCTACCTTTCATGCAAATTTTACATGTGTGTATCACCCCTCCTCCATGGTGTTGCAATTTTAAAAAAAAATAAAAGTGTATAAATAAGTAAACAGATTTTCTGAACAAATACTCTGAAATAAGCATTTTGCAAGTCAATATTTACGTAGGCTGTTCAATAAGTAATAAGACTTAATTTTACTGCAGCGAAACCACTCACCGGGATGTTAATTTCTGTGGCATAAGAAAAGTTTGTTGTCTGTATTAACAAAAGCTACCAAAAGATGGTGTGTACAGACTCAGGTTCTTGAGTATCACGTGATCGAACTGAAGCGTGTTTGCGGGCGCCTACGAGACGCGGCCAGTTGTCGAAATGGAAACAATGTATTATATCAACCTTTGATATAATACAATATGAAAGAAAGACTGGAACAAGAAGGTGACAATATCTTAAAACGCTTCATCACAGCAGACGAAGCTTGGTTGTATCACTATGACCCAACCATAAAACAACAAAGCAGTGAATGGAAATATCCATCTTCATCCACTCCCAAGAAAGCAAAAACTGAAATCGGCTGGTAAAGTTATAACAATAATTTTTTTTTTTTTGATTATGAAGGAATTGTGTATCAACAGGCTTTCGAACTTGGTAGTACCGTAAACGGCTCGTACAACGCGAATGTCTTACGAACAATGGTACAGCACGTTAAAAGGAAACGTTCATTGCTCTGAAATGGCTTCCTATTGCACCATGACAATGCCCGACCACATATTGCACGTTGCCTACTGGATGTTTTGCAGCAAAACAAGAGATTTTACCACATCATCCATACAGTTCTCATTTCACTCCATGCGATTTCTGGCTGTTTCCTCATCTTAAGAAACCATTACGAGGCAAACGTTTTGCAAGCAACAAAGCATGTGTAAAGGCTGCGTAGGCGGTTTTGAAAAAGCTCTCACGAAACGGACTTTTACATGTTTTAAAAAAGTGGACAGAACGCTGGTATAAATGCATTACGTGCCACGGAAGTTATTTTGAAAAATACCATGTAAATGATGAGACGATTAAAGGTTTTTTTTTTAAATATAATTTTAGTCTTATTACTTATTGAACAGCCCTCATACATAGTGGCGTAACGGAGAACATTTGGGCCCCCAGCAAAGTCAGGTTTTGCGCCCTCACGTTGAATTTTACAAAGGGCTTTACTTGCGTCAGTCAGGCTTTGGGTTTCTTAGAACCCTGCCTCCCCCCCCCCAGCGCGCGATGCAGGGATGTACGTTACGCCACTGCTCGTACATTAAGTTAGGTTAATTATTTTAAAATGTAATAAATAACAAAATTCTAATTAATATATAATTATATTAATAGTACCATTATTAATATATAATAAAACTCAAATCTATATTTTTGACCTAGTTCGCTGGGTGGTACAATTGGTTAGGCGTGGGCCTTGCATGCCCAAAATTGCAGGCTCTACCCCGGCCCTAGTGGAGGATTTTCATGGTGCAAAAAAATCGACAGCATCTATGTTGCATGGTTATGGTTATCTGGCATATAAAAGATCCCTAGAGTGCCCATTTGGCTTCGGTGTTGTCGACAACATTAAATTCCTAATTCAATTTTGCGTCGACTTATCTCAGGTACATCCATCTAGAAAGAAAACCGAGTGTCAAGATTACATTGTGGCAATTGGTATCCATCTATATGGTGTTATACTTAAATGTGATACCAAGTCCTGGGGAATGTAATAGGTCTGCAATGGTAAAATACCAATCAGCAGCCCCATTTAAAAGAAAAAAAAACATTTGATCTCTATTCCCCAACTTTGCATGTATTGCAGCAGGAATAGAACTGTTCCAAATATTTCCTTCTGCAAGGCACACCACAGCTATAAGGTTAGCGACCCCAGCTCTAAACACTTCTGTTACAAATAAAAACAAATTGAAATTTTCACCAAAGTCAGTCGAATTATTTTGAATTGATCCGGCATACACATGAATGTCTTATAATACATTTAAGTTTTATTCTATCTATATAACTAATTATCTCTTAGCTTGAGATAAAATATTTTCAAGCCTTCACATTTTGAATGTTACTCCAAGTTTACTATTTATAAAATATGCAGTTGAAAATATTGAAATCAAAGCTACTTATCAGATTTCATTAAAACCCCCTACAAAACCAGTGACATAGCTACCGCCAATAAGGGGCTTCCAAGCTTCAGGAGCCCTATAGTGCCTCAGAAAAAAATCATAAAATGTCAAGGGTCTCCAAGGAATTTTGCTACTGGGTTCACTGAGGGCTAGTTACGCCAGTGCTCAAAACATTCCCGACATTATTACAAACAAACTGTGAAACGTTCAGCAAAATAAGTCAAGTAATTTTTGAGCCTGTAGATCACATACATATGAACATTATTTTTTTTATTTATATAATTTACTATATATCAAACTTAGAAATGAGAAAATCATTAATTTGAAAAGAATTTATTCATTTTCTCTCACACCTACATTTTTATTTATTTGGATGTATATTTTATTTATGTTCATATTACATAATATTTTACATAACATTTAAGTACATTTTATACAAATATACAATACAAATTGGTCCAACATCATCAACATGATTTGTTTTATTAAAAATATAATTAAAAATCTAAACATTTTCTGCAAACATTTCTAATAATTAATACCAAAAGGAAGATGAAAATACCTGCCTTTTTTACCAACTAAAATGGCAGAGATTTAGAACACACAACTATCACCTTCAACCAAGATGAATTTATTTTGAAACATAATATATCTATGATTACCAATCAACAAAATTATATCATTCCATTTTCATATTAATACCTCAAAAAGTAATATTTAACATAGGCAAAAATAAATAAAATTCACAAGTAACAGAGAATATTGTATCAGATTTGCTGATTGAAATAAAATTTTCCTTCAAAAAAATTGCTTTTAATTTTTAGATAACTATAACGTTTTAAATTCACGCAGCTCTAATTACTTACTTTTTGCTAATTATTTATTTAAAAACTTACAAAAATTCCATTTTAATATGTTCAGATATTAATTATTCTGCAAGACAGCCAAATATTAAAGATTATACAAATGAAATATTGGTTGTGAATAAATGATCTGAGTCCAATATAATGAATATGTTACACAAAGCAGTTTCAACACGTACATGCATGCATTTTCACTAGCTGTAAACATTCGTGCAGAATGGTAATATTCAAGTTAAATAAATATGATAAAAAATATACTGAGTTAATACAGTGCAAAGAGTTGACAGTAGAAAAATTTCTAAATATTATGCACACAAAAGTAAAAGATGAAACACATTTTAAGCTCAATATACTTTATCAAATATAAACACAGTACAATATGTGCTTTAAGACATTTGTGTCTGCATCAAGAGTATATCATATTGCATCTCTTGCCTTATATTAATTTCAAACTTAAACTAGTTTCTTAAAATATGAAATCATAACAAAGAATAATCTATATAAAAATAAAAGTAAAAAAATTAATGTTCCAACATGGAAACATTCCATATTAAATATATTACATTTAATTTTTTAAATCAATTAAATTATTAAAATCTCCAACTTTGAGGAAATTCTAGAAATTAAAAATAACTTTATATTATTTATACACTAATTATATTATGCAATGCTTTTTTTTAAAAAAAATACATGTAATTACATATTTATATTAATTAATCATTATAAGATAATAAGATTCTCTCTTTCTTAATCAGATATATAAATTAAAATACAATAGAATAACTCATAAATTTTGTTTAAATAAAGGCATTAATTAAATGTCACAAAAATACACCATAATTCAATTTTTCCTCAATATAAATAAATTACACATTTGATGAATAATTTTCTCACATTTTGAAAAATACCTTAATTACACATAAAAATGTGACTGAAGAAATAAGGTTGTGTATTACATATAAAAAATTTAAGTAGAGTTATGTTATTGTGCATATAATATTTGTACTATAATAAAGGTAATAAAATATATCTTAAATGATTATTTAAAAGATAGTTCTGAATATTTCATCATAAGAGTAAAATGTGTCACCTAAGTTCAAAATAACAAAAAATTAATTTATTGTACAATGATTCAACTTGGGTGTTTTGACAATCACAAACCAATACAAAGTTGATTGTTGGAAATTATAATAAAAGAATTCATATCAAAAACTTTCTTTTAATATCAAACTAATGCAGATTTTCAATAAATCTAGAGCCCTATCTTTTTTTTGTCAGAATATTATCTAATGTATGAGAAAGGAAATTTTTTTTGAGAAAAATAGCTAATATACAAGTAGAATGTTACATTTTTCAGTAAATTAAGAATAATTACACATACCAGATGAAACAATTATCCAACATTAACATTTATATACAATGTGACAAAAGCTTTACAAATATTAATGCACAATTCTTTAAAAAACATTAATTGTATTATATAATTAGATTATAAATCATTCAAAATTTAATTAATTCATACAGATTCATTAAAAATTTCCATAACATAACAAAATACTAAAAACATTCAAATTGTATTTTTCTATTCTTAATACACGATTTTAATATTTTAAATTATCTTTTTACAAAGCAACTTTTAAAAAAATAAAACTACTGCCAATAAGCAGTTCTAAAATAATTTGAAGAAAACCTGTATACTTTCTGATCATTTTAGAGTACAACTAAAAGCTCATTTAAGTTTCTCTTGCTCTTGTTTTGCATGTATGTTACTTTGGTTTATTGTACATGAACTGTGCTTAACATACACTTACGGTGCACATCGATTTAAAAGGCAATACAAAACATTTATATCAAGACAACTTATTACAAATCTATCAGCAACAATGACTAAAGTTATCAAACAGTTATGCTAAGTATGAAATAAAATGCATGCATTAAGCTCAAGAGTTAAACTAAAGTGCAATATATTTTCAACTGATTGTCACTTTAAAGTTTTAATAAACATTTTCAAGACAGTGACTTAGCATTTTTCTTGACTATTTGCAACATGGAAGACTAATAGTAACCATTAAATAAATAGTAATTGCCACAAATTTGACATTTATAAAAAATGCAACTACAGCAGTGTATATTCAGTATTAAGCTAAAAAAATTCAAAAAACTCATTTGCTGCTTGTTTCTCATTTTTAACAGTGATACTACATTTATACAGATATCAAAATGGTTGCAGATGTTTATTTGAACAACAATGGTTATGAAATTAATTTTCAGTGTTGAAAAATAGTTTTAGAACATAATTAAAGTAATGAAGAAAAAAGTAATCAATACAAAATTGAAAATTACTACATACATATTTTACCTAAGAAAAAGAAAAAAAAGAATTTTCTAGATTTCATAAAAACATCCATTAATGTCTTAGTTAATTGTGGCAATTACTAAGTTCCAAATTTACAAACGTTGAGAGTTGGGCTTAAAATGTATGGTATATGAAAAATATTTAATCCTTAAGAGTACTGATCATACAAAAATTGGCTATTTATCTCATTTGAAAAATTTTAATTGAAGTATAAAAATTACAAAATAACAATTATTTGGAGGAAAACCTATATTCAGTCTTAAGTATATTGATTTAAAAAGACAAACAATAGAAAAAAATTAACTATGTATTCCAAGTACAGTGGATACCCTCTTAACCAGTCATCACAGGAATCAATTCTTGATAGAAGAATGATATGGTCAGTTTAGTTAAGATCACACCAGGTTAATAAAGGATTATTTGTAACATACCTCATTTTTAACATTGGTGTATAATTCTATTATAAATATCACTTTTAGATATTTCAGATGATAAAGGAAACTTAAAGTTACCATGTAGCAAATTTTGCAAGATTACTTCACATCATGGCCTTTAGAGTAAGTGAGATTTAAGAACTGTAGTTCAACAATATGAGCCATAATGTTTGCAAGAAATAAGTTGAATCCAATACCCAAAATGACTTTCTAGTTCAATTAATTATAATAACTGAAGAGAACTTATAAAATTGCATTTGTGCAATATGCTAATTGCTTACAGGAATAGATTGTGTAAATAAAAAGAAAATAGAACAGATTTCACACTAAGTGCTCCAGAAATATTTTTTCAACTTAGTAACAGGTTAAGAGGGTATCTACAGTAGTTTTACACAAATGAAACACTGAATCAAATATATACATAAATTTATAAAATAATGCTATGATAAGCATCATGACACTTTTTTAATAAATAAAATGATTCATATCGGGCATAAAAAAAGTCTACCTTGACAATAACAGATTATTCAGAAAAATCATCTATTGCTAGAAAATCCATTTAAATCGCATATTTTTAACCTCCAAGAAAAAAAAGATTCCTTAAATGGCAAAAAGTAGATAAAAACTTATAAAAATGAATTAAACTATGAATAAATTACATCAATTGACTAGCTGATGATTATTT